TATAAATATCATTTTAACTTTGTAAACATGGATTAAGTAAATAATTAATTTTTTTTATATTTTCTATATAAAAACATAATTACCTATACACCTAACCATATTTCAATTAATAAAAAAATAAATTACATAATAAAATTAATAAATTATATAATGAAAACGAAAAAAAATTTCTATTGTGACATTTAATATAAAACGGAGGGAATATTAAACTTTTCAATTACTAGTTTGATTTATTTTTCAGTGTAGTTTTTTTAATGAAAACTACAATCTAAAATACATAAAATTCAAAGATGAATAAAAATTAAGAAGAGGGAAATCAACAAACGTTTTTTTTTAAGAAACTTTAATTGATAATATTTAAATTAATTAAATTTTATTGGTGGATTATTACTGAAAAGTGTATAAAAATGAAGAAAATAGTAATTTGTAAATATTTATTATATTCTTAATAAACGCAAATATTCTATAAAATCTTACTTAGAGAAAGGGAGGTAGTGTAGTATTCTACTAGTATCTCGTTATTTCTATTTTCACTTTTGGGGGAGTGCAGAAAACGAACGAGTGAGAGAGAGAAGGTTCCCTTGAAGTTGCGGGAATTGTTTAAACCGGAGCTCCGACCACACTCTCTCTCTCTACTTCATTCTTCTTAATCACTTTATGCTCTCTGTTTGTTGGATGTTTCTCTCGTTCATCAAAGCTGCATCTAGTAACATCGGATTCATGCATTAAGATCTAAAAGGTAAATGGGTTCTCTAAAAATCGTTACATTTATTCTTTTCTTATTGCGTCTCTGTACGTGTCTAAAGTGTGTTGGTGTATTGAATTTAAACAGGACTTGTTCTGTAATAAAATCTTGTGGAGGAAAATAAACTCTTAGTATTCTTTAGAGAGGTTGTTTCTTGACTTTGAAGATTTCTAAGGTTCTTAGAGCACCCGCATCGCAGTCTCCAGCTCGTCTCTTAATGGAGGGGAGACCCACATTTTGCAGTAAAAACGCCTCCTATATGCACTAAATAAGATATGTTTGTTGGATTTATCTTGCACTGTTTTGTGGACCCCACGACACGTGGCGGCCTACATTTAGTTCTGTTTTAATTTTTTTCTTTTAATCAAGTAAAACAAAAAACAATAAAGAAGAATTAAAGAAATAAGAAACTCACCCGGTCTTTGCGATACGGGTGCTCTTAGGGGTTGAAATGGCTGAAACAAAGAGACGATCTTACTTACAAGTCACGAAACACTGCAAAAACCTCAAGAGGGAAACTTTTCAGCTAAACCGCCTCCCAGGTTTATCTGACGATTTCAAGAATATGAGAAAATTCCGTTTCATAGTGAGTGATCCTTACGCTACTGACTATTCATCCAGCGAGGAAGATTGAAAGGAGTCAGAGAAGGAAACATTATGTCTGTGAGATCTGAGAGCTCGACTTGTCATAATGATTTAAGCAAAACCAAAACCTCACTGAAGCCTGTTGGAACTGTTTTTTTGACAAATTGGTATGACCAATATTTTGGATGGAATTGTTGAATTCCTTGTTATGATCACTATGATATAATGTAATCATATGTCAAAAAACAAAGTTTGTTTGAATGAGAAATGAAATTCTAATATGAGATTATTTATTAAATATCTATATTAGAATTATGAGGTGAAGATCTTCTTATATATAAAATGGAGAAATAACAAAGTTAAAGAAAACTTTATAGCACTTTGGTGTATTATAAAAAGAGATAGTTGGGCTGGAACAAGTTTTGGAATTATGCAAATAAGACTAATTTGTTTTGCCTAAATCCATTTGCTAATTATTTAAATAAATAATTCAAGCATATCATCTTTTGTGTCCAAGTTTTAATGGCTACGGGAGGTGGAGGCTACGAAAGCTCTACCGTCGCCACTATGGATTCTGGGGGTAGAGGCTTCCTCAGCTCTACGTCGTCGGCTAAGATTCTGGGAGGTGGAGGCTCTGACAGCTCCATCGATGCCGGCCTTGTCTCCGGGGGGGGGGGGGGTGAAGGCGTCCTTTGCCTTGCGGCGTAGGCTTTTGTGTTCCCTAAAGGTGTTTTAGGGTTTTTTTTTTGTTTTTTTTTGGTTTTTATTATGTGGATTCGATTGGGGTTTGATTGATGAGATCTCGTCGGTGACAGTGGAAGCTCTCTGGTGAAAATGATGTTGTGGAATGCAAAGCTTTTTCTGGGGTGGTTGTGCTTAATGATTATGGATGAGATCTCGTCATGGCGATTGACTCTCTACAATACTGGAGCCCCATGGTTTTCAAGTTGTTTGCGGTGAAGATAGATGGAACTATGGAGTTTCGGTGTGGTCCGGTGATCTGAGGGTTAGATCTCTGGTGATGGCGAGAAGCGGTGGTGACACAATGGTCCTTGCGACACGTGCCCCTCATTGTCGAGAATTGCAACACGTGTTCCTGCAACTCAAAGATTTGATCTGCGAGACGGCTGGAGTCGGTTCCGTCTTTAGTCTAGGGTTTTCTCAAGTTGGGCTTTAGGCTCATTTGAGTGACGAGTTGCTGTTCGATTTATGTGGACTTGTAATTTGTATTGGGTTTTGGCTGTTATTTTTATTTTAAAAATATTGATGGGAAAAAAATAAGATTCTGAAAGCCAAACAGAAAGGGACAAACATGAAAGCCTCTCGGCCGCATGTTACGTGGCGCTTCACACATTGGCTTCTATGTCTCTCATAAAACACCCAAATTCGAGACCTCTTTTTCCTACATTTTTATTCTTGACTTTCGAGTTATATGTATTCATATATAATTGCTTGACTTCGTATTGACTAGACTACAATCAAGTGGCAATAAAATGGAAGACTTTCGAAAACACTAAGCCGTAGCCAAGAAAATGAATACATATAACTCGATTTTTTAATGACACAGTACTAGTGTCAATTCTTATTACTAAGAATACAGCACATAGTATTAGCATTTCTAGCTAAATATTACACTTTCTCCGAAAAAACTTACGAATATTTATGGTAAAAACATGACCACTTGCGGATTTCGACTGAATACTTTTTCTTTCATATGATGACTGAATAAAAGATTAGAATGCCGTACATGAGCTCTAAATATTTAAGTTCACAAAAAGGTTTAAGACTATTTCTTACAATAAAAAATTAAACCATAAAGTGGCCTAATATAAACCATAGCACGTCAGATTTCTTTCTGGAGGATCATAAATCTTCTGTCGTCGTCCTAGTTTTACACTGTTGTGGAGTGGATGATATATTAAGCAAAGTCTATCACTTTATCCACACGATATACTACATAGAACATCCATCAAATTTTTCTTGCATAAACATGATCACTCACATGGAGTTCTTCTTAACTGTAAGTATTATTCCCTCTATTTCATTTTATTTATATTTTTAAATTTATGCACAGAGATTAAAAAAATTATTTAATTTTACGTATTTTTAAAACGATATTTATTTTAAAATAAATATTTTACTCAAATTCGATAACTAAATTGAAACCGAATGAGAATTTGAGAAAAAAAACCGTAAAATTTTTAGCCAGTCACGTGGATTTCAGTTTTACCCTTTTCCGTGAAGCTGTTTATTTGGACATTGCAATCTATTACAAGTTGTCTTCATTTGATTTTGTTAAGAATTGGTACAATGGAATAATTCCAAACGCTACCGTCCATACCATTTCTTTTGTTTTTATTTTATATCATTTCGTGACTGTAAAACACAATCTCACATCTCTCGTGTCATTAACTTTGCATCTTGTCCCCAAATCCCTATGATAATTTAACCCTTCTCTGTTTACCATAGTAATAGGGTCGGTCTTTTTTTTTAAACTAATAGGGTCGGTCTTTGGCAAATCCTGTCGAAACATTTGTTTTAGATCCCAAATTTTTGAAGAACTTTGTACAGAAATAAATCCTAAATATATTTAAACTACTTCCAAATTGATAAAAAAAATATTTAGCTAAAATATTTTTAAAAGTTACCTATGATTCACTAAATTTCAGGACTGGTCCTAATTAATAAACAGATGCTTATCTTTAGTAATGTATGCAAACATCTAGTGGAACAATGATTTCAATATTTACACGTCCAAACTCCAAAAATTACATATCTAGATCGTAAGAATCCTTATATGTTATACTAGAGGCGGCCCGCCCTACGGGCGGGGTATACCTTATATATAATTTTCATTGTTCAGTTGTAACTTATGTGGTTTGGACAGTAGGTTTGAGTGGTTTGGACAGTAGGTTTGCGTTGCATTTTAAATAAATTTAGAAAGGTAAGACACTGTTACAGCGTTTCAAGTATGTTTTAATGTGATGGTATTATGTAAATGTTGAATTGAAGAAGTTATATTATTAGCGAGAACATGGATAAGTTGGTTAAAAATCCTTGAACACACGTATCTGAGATATTGAGATCTGAGTAACTACCAAGTCCACCCCATTTTGCTTATCAATATCAATCTTAAAATAGAGATAAAGTACGATGAACAACAAAAACGCAAAATCTGTTTTTAAAACATAGTATGAAAATCATATATGTTAAAAAAAAAAATCATATATGTTAACATTTTTTAAGAAAGAAGCAAAAGATTGTCGAATAATCCCTGCCAACCACGTGATCGAAACACCATTGATCCATACAGTTGCTGGCTTAGGAGGTTAACCCTTTTCAAATTCCTGTTACAAACGCAAGATATGAGCAAAGATTACATACTTCAAACACAACATCATTACACCATTAGTCTTAAATAAACGTTCAGAAGAGTGGTATGCGCACATCCATACTCACCAATAATTCGTGTGACAGTGAATGCCTGACGGCTTGCCGTAAAAGCAGCAGACGTCAATCTAACGTGGAAAGAGTATATCTTGCCTTTCAAGTATTTAATTAATGTAGTTATTGGAGAATGTTCAGGGTTCTCCCCTTACTTCAACCTACGAAACAAAATGTACCAGAGTTTTAAAAAAGTGTATGATGAATTCAATAAGTGTCAAAAATCCTATCTCACCAGCATCTCACTAATATCACGTGCGTCGAGACCAAGCAGCTTCGTCATTATACCATCAAAACACACAAAGATATCTTCAGCAGTGTCATCAGCAACACCAAGCGTTACTCGATAACTGATAAGATAACCACTTCACATTGTTACGGGGTGTACAAAGATATCAAGGAATACAGATGTAGGTATTCTATGCTTCATACCGTATATCACCAACAGCATTAGATTTGTTGCATCTCACACATGTAAAACCAGATCCAATGCGCTGGAGCTCCCTGCTGCATTTACTGCAAGCTACGTAACACCAACCCTTATGGGCATGGACTCCACTTACTGTCCCGGGAATTCAATCTCCTATATGATATATAGAATTTACTTAGCGAGCAACAGCGGAAAAGTCAGGGGAATGGAGGGTTACTAATTTATCTCAGACTGATCAACGATTACAAACTTTTTCATCTCAGCTACGGTTAAAGAGTAGACCTCTGGAGTTTGCGGCAATAGTGGTGCAGCCGATGGAAGGCCAGGTCTTACCATGATCAACCTATGTATATATATACAAACGATGACCATTATTTCTTATTATACCAAGAGAGCCTGATAATTGTACATCTAAAAAACTAACCCATAGTAGCGGTCTAGTCCAGCTCTCGTTTCCCCGTCAAAATAAACATGTGTACATGAAGTGGCATTCAGGAACAATCGACCTACATAAAAGAAATTAATAATCAGTTTATTCCACAGAGCCACTGGGAGATATACATATTTAACAATATAAAGTAATCTCAAAAAAGGTGAATACCTCCAACCAATCTTGGATTTATGTTTGTGGCTACGAAAATTCTTGGACCAACATCAGTACATTCAAGTCTTCTGTGAAAGGATATAGCCTCAGCGTCAAATAGGCTCAATGTTACGGATCCACCTCTGAATTAAAAAGTCAGTTAGTCATGCAACAAATCATATATACAACCTGATGCCAAAACAACTAAGAAGAATAGGAGTTACTTATCGAGCTTGATGGTCGCCATTACATGATTCTTTCCTTTTAGAGGTTCTCTCACAGAACTCTTCACAGCAGAAAGCTCACCCACCACATCTGTGTAAGACATCAGATCAAAACGTAAGCAGGTTATACTAACCAACTGAAAAATAATTCTACCTGGGAGTTGGCCATTTTTGTTAGCTAATTGTAGCAGCTCAGCTTCATAACAGAATCGGAATCCTTCTTTAAGCAATGCCGAAGTAGGGTAGAGCAACACATCCAAACAAGTAGCCTTAAAACATTTAGCACACTGAGTGACATCAAATTCGGAAATCTGATACAATAATCCAGCAGTGAGTCTGGTACGAAACAATGGAACACATTCACCACTGATCCTTGCCTCCATAATGGTGCCCTGCAACATTTTATAATAAGATATTCATGTCATGTTGTTTTGAACAAAGAGACAGAAGTTATATCCGAGAAGCAATACGCAGCAACCTAACAACATATCACATTAATCCTAAAACAAAGTTGTTCAATAAGATACGCAGATCTAAGCCAAAAAAAAATTCAAACTCAACCCTATGGATTAGATTATCTACTATAATTACACAAAGCGTCGGATTCAGACATATAGGTACAAAGTACGATTTTCTTTATAATAAGATTAATTCTAAATCATAGAAACAAAGAGGAAAATAATAATCAATCCAAATATAAGGATCAAATAATAATGACTTTTTGGCTGATGTCATCAAAGACGAATTAACAAATAATGGTTAGCAGTGTCCAAACTTATCGCTTTATGTGTGTAAGCGACGAACAAATATATAGAGCTGGAGAAAAAAAAAACAGTAGTTTCTAATAGAAACATAAGAAGCACAGACATACAAAACCATAGCTTCTATTACATTGCATATTTCAACTCAAAACTTAAAACAAAAGACACGGCTTGGGTTCAATCAGACACACAATGGAGGAAACAATATAACTGATTTGATCTAACACATAGTCAATCAGATTTTCACAAACCTAGAAATCCTATTTCATACTTTAGTTCACTGTATCAGTCAACAGTTTGCCGGTAATCAGAAATCGAGCTCATTGACAAACAAAATCCAAGGAGTAAGATATTTTTATTTGAAACAGAACATAATTCACAGAAGAAGATATAAGAAATATATGTAGACTTTCAGATTATAGCTTCCAAATATAAATCATACACAAAACCCTTTCAATCAGAGTTATGGAAGGGAAAGTTTTATAAGAGTAGGAACAAATAAATTATCAATAAATAAATTTACTTTGTTGTTTTCACAGATCGAGAGAATGATTTAAAGAATAGAAGACTAACCTTTGTATAGGTTTAGATACACGACTTGGAGAAGAGAAAGGTACAATGAATTAGATTGTAGTTGATGTGGGTTTATATAGTTAAGGCAATAAAGGAGACGAATCTGTAACTGAGCATTTCGATTGATTATACCGGAAGACTAAACATCGCGATTAAAGACTCGGTAAGAGTTCACACATGCCCATTCTAGCACCTCAATCTCTGGAGACTCCATCGTTAATGTCAGCGAAGGTATATAAAGGTCGGCGTTGCCGGAGTATGTAGAGTAGGATGAACCCTAAAACATAATGTGCAGCTGAAGAAGACGATCAGCTTTAGCCACTTCGGGCTGGAATGTAATAAGAGATGAAGCCCAAAAATTAACCGTGAAATCAAGCAAAGGCCCAATAATAAATTTCGTCTGACGTGGCCTTTCCACACTGGCGCCCATGTGGCATGTCTTAGAGGGAGGGAGACTTTGTTTTATATAATAGATTTAACTCATCTCAGTCTCCATTAATTTGGAATTTCAATGGTCTTTAAATACGGAGAAACTCTAAAAATGACATTTTGTATTTGTTTTTGATAAAATTGACATTATGTATCTATGTGACAAAAAAATAGAATCTGATAGTGTACGATATAGCACTATACTTTGGTTTTTCTACAAATGTTATAGTTTTCTATAAGTGAATCTGTTTTTTTTGTTCAAACCTAAGTGAATCGAAATTGATTGTACAGTAAAATTTTAAAGGTATACCTTTACCAAACATCTGTATTTCAAACTCGTTTATCTATAGTTTGGTGCTAACAATGTTAAATAAAAGTTTCGAGGGTGATTTTCTTGATAAGAGAGACTTGCACTAACTAAATACAACCAACCGTCTGTATGCCTACTTTTTTATGTTTTAAATTTAACAAATATGACTGTAGTAGTGCTCATAGGTTGGGGAAAATGGATTGGCCAGTCGTAAAAGCAACAGCCTTTTATGACTTGATCTCTATTACTATAATAGTCAAGCGCAGAATTTCTGTAAAGAGGTCAACTGATCTGACGGCTGTTAAAACATCTCACCATACACAAGTTCACAACACTGCATTTGCTTCCCAAATTTTCTTGCCGAATGTCAAATGTTGTAACAAATAAGTGAAACCAAATAAGTGCACAACTGATAATATATTTTAAGTTAATTTTCCTAGACCAGGCAGCCAAAATAATTTAAGTTGGAGTATGATCAGTTGATCACTGAATACATAATTTCTCAGTTTGGTGAAAAATTTAAAGAATGTATAAAACATATTAAATTACACAAACATTTTGTCATACCAAAAACATCTCGCCCCCCCCCCCCCTCTCTCTTTCATCTATTCTAGTCGTTAATAACTTGGATCAGATTAAAATATTTATTCAAGGATATTTACATATTAATTTGATTGGCTGCAAATGCATGTCTCATCAGACGTGACGAGTACCAAGAAGAAAATAATCAGAACTTTCATTTGAAAAGCAGAACCTGTCCCAAAAAAATGTTAGGGTTTATATTCGTCCTCTTCTTATATGCAGAGAAAACCCAATACACACTGCTAATAAAATTTCAACATTGACACGGTAAATGCATATATTTGAAAATGTTTATAGATTAATGATTAGAATCTCCAAAATACCCTCGTTTTCCCCTTACATCGACGAGAAAAACGTGGGTATTTTAGGCAAAAGCACTTGACTGATTGATTACATAAAGAGGTACAAGAAAATACAATAAAACATCAACAAACTGCATCGTCTAGTTATGTAGACGATCTGGACAGCTTGGTACCGTTCTTTTACTGTCACTGATCCCTTTTCCGACTATAGAATCCACCGGAGGAAACTTCACGGCGCCGAAGTACTTCTTCATTAGATTTTCTTGGTTATTAGCCGGAGCAATAGAGGTTGTCTTCGTCGGAGTTTCTGGAAATACCCGAGTTGCCCCTGTCTGGGAATTTACACCAAAGAGATAGATTAGAGAAGAAAGCAAGATCACCTTTAGAAGAGAGGAGCTTCTCCATTCTCGAGCATGAGTCATATCCCAAACCTAAACCCTAACATAAAGCTAGTCTTCTTAATTAAACGCTAACCCTCGATTCTTACTCTCTCTCTCTTCTCTCCTCTATGGGTTAGATGTATCTTCCGTAACTAGTTCTGAAATTGAGAGAGAGAGAAAGAAAGATATTGAAGCTTTGTCTTGTGAGAACAGGAGTGGCATTCATGCAAAATTTGAATGGCCCACGTGAAAGGGTACATATAAATACAAGACAAGATCTTCATTCAAAAAAAATACAAGACAAGATCTGATTTTCCTAGCTTGGATTTTTTTGAAGATATAGTAATAGTACATATGTCACATATCTAATAATGATAAATAGTTATATAGTACGATTATTGGTGTGTAGTTTTTTTATGTGTAATTGTGTACATACTTTTTAAAGAACCATTTACTAAAATAATATAAAATAGTGGTTTCTTTCTTATTAAGGAATATAAAAAAAATTGAACTGTCAAGAGTTTAATACGTAATATCGTTTATAAACTTTAGATTTATAATCAGATTATGTTTCCTTATTCTAAATATACTTTATAATTTACTTATACATTTTCTAATTAGATTTTTTGGTGTAAGTGTTATAACATTTTTAAATAGTTTATATTTCCTTAGTGTTTACATATGCTTTTATTAATTTTTTTTTGTAACAATGCTTTTATTAGTTTAAATATACTTTTTAATATAGTACATAATAGATTATAACTTTATATATTTTTTAGACCTGCGAAGAGGACAGAAAAAGATCAATAAACCAATAAATGCACCACCCACCAACGTACTTACCTATTTTGGTATGAATTTCAAAAAGTTGTCGTTCTGGCGTTGCTTTATAGATATAGATGTAGATGTAGTCATGTAGAATAGGTTTACTTTTAGAACAACTTTTGGAAAAGTTAACTGCTATTTCTTTTTGTTTTTGTTGGTCAACCTCTATATATATACACGACCTGATATAGTGGATATAATAAATTTGAATGTGAATATGGAAACAAATCTGTGGCACTTGAGTCTTGACTAATTACATGACTAAAAAGACCGGTAATGGCCACGGCAGAGTTGCCTTTTATAAATTATAACATATTCCGGCATACTAAATAATGTATTATATTTAGTCCAAAAAAAACATCTATACTATTAAAGCTGAAGTACAAAAATAAAGTGTTTGGAAACATGAATAAGAAAATTTTAAAAGTTTGATTGGAAACATGGATAGCATACAAATTTAATGGGCTTATTTATAATATTAAAGATTACTGCGGCCCAAGGTACCATTATTATTGTTTTTGGATTTTCTATCATTGATATTACTTTATTTCTACAAATTATTTATACATATATGTATTCATGTTTTAAATGTATTTAGAATAAATCAAGAATAATATATATTTTATTTATATAATTTATATTGACTATTCTTATAAGTTTTTAACAGTGATATACTAGNATTGATATTACTTTATTTCTACAAATTATTTATACATATATGTATTCATGTTTTAAATGTATTTAGAATAAATCAAGAATAATATATATTTTATTTATATAATTTATATTGACTATTCTTATAAGTTTTTAACAGTGATATACTAGCCTTCCAATTCTTCATTAAAAATTAAATTAAAAATTTGACTAAATTATTTAGTTTATATAACTTTACACCAAATTTAGTCAAAAAACTTTATAAACTATTACTAAAATGTTTACAGGTCACAACATTTTACGATGCCCCTGTTACACAATACAATAATGAAATACAATGTTTAAACAATATACTATTACTTAGTAAAACTGGAACCATTAAATTGTAACTTTGAAATGTTATTTATACCATAAAAACAAAGACCCGCCTAGTCGGGCGGGTTATGATCTAGTAATGTATTATATGTATACGTCTTGTCTCCAGAAACGAGGATAACGTGACGTAACAAAATCGTGAATACGTTTGGTTTTGGTGTCCAATATATAATATACAAAATACAAAATGTTCGTTTGGATATGTGAGATGAGTTTGAATAAAGGGTGTCGTTTTATTAACTACACTTTGCCGTTTTGTGTTTGTTTCTTTTCAAGTTTTGCTCTTTACTTTCGTCTCTTCCTCATGCCTTCTTCCTCTTCGTGTCAGAAATAAAAGATGAAGATCCCATCATGATTTCACTATAGAGAAATTCTCTAGGATACATCTAACTTTTTTTTTGTTACAAATATGAACTTTAAAAATAAAAATAACTAAAATATAATAAAATATTTTATCAAAAATAAGTAAATAAACATTTATATCTTTTAGGTTAACTAATCATAATTTTTTTTTTTTTAGAGTTGAGTAGTTAGACCATTATTGGTGGCAAGCTCTAGCTTAGTGTCTCATGTTTTAATGAAACTAGAGTTTTTCTCCGTGCTAGGCGAGGATACGTGAATAAATAATTTAGGTTAGAATCATAATTTTTAATACTATTTTTGGATTGAAAAAAAAAAATATGAAAAACTTGGTGATTATTAAGTGTTTGTACTTTTCTATAAATAAAGAGAATAGTTTAAATGATCATAAGAGCATCTCCAACCCCACTCTAAAACCCACTCCAAACTCCATTTTGCAATAAAACCTTCTCCAACCCTACTCCAAAACTCACTCCAAAATGGAGTAACAAACATGATTACTCCAAATATGGAGTAAACCAACTCATTACTCCAAAATGGAGTTGAACTTTTTTATTTATCAAACAGTCCTCCACATTTATATATGTTTCATTTTTAATAAAATATTATTATAAATAAGTACTATATATATTATAAAATTTACTGTTATATTTCTTAATTATATAAATAGCCTCATTTTTAATAAAATATTATTATAGATAAGTATATTAATATTATTTTACTATATATTAGAAAATTTACTGTTTATATTTCTTAATTATATAAATAGCCTCGTCTTTAATAAAAATATTATTATAAATAAGTATATTAATATTATTTTACTATATATATTTTAAAATTTACTGTTAATATTTTTTAATTATATAAATAACCATGTGATGAACTCTTTTATACAACATAATATATATAATATAAACATAAAAGATCATACATATAGAAAATGAAAGATAAGCACCATACAAAAAAATAACAGAAAATAAAACTTACAACCAATATAATTGCTTAATAATCCGATAAATCATTTTCGGATCCATTAAAATTATTAAAATAATCCGATAAAATATTATTAAATTCTTACATAACATGATAATAGAAGATGATTGTGATCTCGAGGTGCCAATTGAAGTTGAAAGAGAAGTCATGTCAAGGAAAATTGAAATTGAAGAAAATAATAATGTGAGGTTCCAAAANTTATTAAATTCTTACATAACATGATAATAGAAGATGATTGTGATCTCGAGGTGCCAATTGAAGTTGAAAGAGAAGTCATGTCAAGGAAAATTGAAATTGAAGAAAATAATAATGTGAGGTTCCAAAAGTTTCTTTCCCATTTCAGAGAAATCAAAGATAAAGAAGCTCATTTTTTACTTCTAAATGCATTAGTTGATCATTTGTGGGAAAATTATTATAATTCTAATGAATAATTTAGAATTGATGTAATATTGTGTTTAAGCTATATAATGTAATTTTTAATGTATTAAATGTATTCTTTTAAAACCTTGTTGAGTAGTTTTATTTATATAATAAAAATTTAATTGTGGTTAATATTGTATTTAATAGAAATGCTATAAATTTAAAATGGGCTGTTTTGCAAATAGTATAAATGAAAGGTGATATTCCTAATTTTGAAATAAATATAATATTAAAAATATTCTTTTGGAGTAGAAAATGGAGTAATACATTGGAGTAAAACTCAACTGTATTTTGGAGTTACTCCATTTTAGAGTAGAAAATGGAGTAATACATTGGAGATGCTCTAAATAATGTAAGAAAGAGCAGGGGCGAAGCCACCTTGAAGACAAAGGGTGCACGTGCACCCACTTTCATTTATATTTTTAATATTTTGCATAGTTTATTCAGTGAGAAAGTAGCTTATTTGGTTTATGTTGCACCCATAACAATTCAAGGTCGGGAGTTCAAATACCCATTTATACATGTATTAATAATTTTGCACCCAGGGATAGAAAAGTCTGGCTTCGCCCCTGAGAAAGAGATAATTTATTTTGAAGAAAAAAAGAAGAGTATTAGCGCTAGTGTGAATCATATGAGAAAATAGCCTAAAAATAGTAAAGATTATTTTAGTTAACTCAAACTGAAAAAGATATAAAGACATCTTAATTTAAATAGAAAAGATACATACATTGCCTAGCTGGGTAGAAACTCTGTATAAGTCATTCTTTATGTGATCATACTTTCCTTTGATTGATATGTTGCGAATTGTAAATTTGTTGAATGATGGAAGCTTATAAGACCATACTTTTATCAATACTTAATTTTTTAATATGAAATTCTAAAATTGAAACATAAAATTTTAACATATTTTAAATAGGTTTATTTAAGAGTATTTAAGAAAAAAGAATGTTTGGCAAAAATAACAGACTTATGTAATGCTATAAACCATATTGATTGGGCTCCACAAAATATTATCTTTTGTTTCTTTTATTATTTTTTTCGGTAGTAAGAAGCATCTGAGAAATAAAGGATCACCATTGGGTTTTAACTTGACTTGGCACTGGCAGATTCTTATACCCAAATACACAACCTAGAGCAATCCATCTGTATATAACTCACTAGTTAAGAATATAAATTTTAAAATACGTAAGAGAGAAATAAGGAAAATATCTTATTTAAAATCTTGTGAGATATTCTTAAACGCTTATCATATATATCATAAACATTTTTTTTAATATTTGAACAATGAGGATGATCTTACATCTAACATGCTTATATTAGAAAGACTGAATGTCATTGGTTCAAAGCATCCTTTCTACACAGTTTTTAGTGTTATTCGGATATTGTAAGTTTTTGACTATAAATTATAATATTTTAATAATTCTTTTTTCAGAAATTCATGTTAAAATTTGATTTTCATTTTCATTTTTTTGCAGAAATTCTCCTATTAAAGTATTATTATTATTATTTTGGA